GATTTGATGGTGTTGCAGTTACAAAAAGCTTTGTCAAATTATCTGATGTTGTAGTGCTTACTACAGTAAGTTTCAACATATTCAGATGATTGTGATGGATGTGAGTGAGGCACAACAGTTCACCATCAACCAAGAACCTTATTTTTTGTAGTGTAGCTTACGCCAAGTATAGGCTCCACAGTCTAAATAAATAATGAGCTCTTCCTCCATGAGTACGTAGACTGTGGCATGGGTTTGGCAGCATAACAAAGTGCTGTGGAATGAGCCATTCTTGACTGTCAGGTAACAAATGGGTAAAATATCAAACACTTGAGTGGAGAAAATGTTTACATTTTTTGATTTCTTGACAATGTAAATAAAAAATAGTATGATTTAACATATAGAGAACATACAAACACATTCAGTGGAGTGAGTTCCACTATAATATTGTGTGTCCGGAGCACTGGAAAGACATTTTGGACATTCTTTACTGATGGCAGAATGTTAGCCCTCTGCAACAGGGATTATAACTCATAATGATTTTCCTGAAAGTTGTAATAATGTAGTTATAATAGTGTGTAGGTCCAGAAGAACACTTTAATTGCATCAGTCATAATATTGCTGTTGTAATAATACATTTGGTGGAGAAAGAATGCTGTTTTTGTCTGAAGTTGTGAGTTTGCGTATTGTAGAGCTAACTACATCTCGATCTCCAACTGTTAAATAGCTGTAATCAAACATTTAACACATTCAACGATGCATTAATGAGGCTGAGGCAAGAAGAACTCCACAAAAAAGGCCACAAACACACAGCATGAATGAAAAATGATACTGTAGGGTTGTGTTTTGGCCATGTGATTACTCGGGGTCAAATTCTTTTAATTATATTATGTAGCCTACATTTATCATTAACAAAAATGTATATTTATTAGTGGATGCTGACACAGAATTTTGGATTTCTTATCATTGTTCTGTTTTTGCTAGTTTTTCGATTATGCCACGTGGGAAAAACAGGATGATATGTTGATACATTTTCATTGTCTTTTGCGAGTGGAGTTTATAGTAGTGAGTACACGCCTGTGGGCAATGTGGGTGTAAAGATTTTTTAGGGCTTTTCCTGAATTCTCAACACTGGAGTGCTGTGCACATTGCAATGAAATTATACAAGTTCCTGATTAAATCTTGATTTAATTAGCTACCAAGGTCAATCACAATCATTACCAGAGTAAGTTCTGCGGTTCTGCTTCTCAACATGGTCAGTATCAGTTTTTCAGTACTGCTGCTTGGTTGTAACACCGTTGCATGTGGTGAGGGCAGTTTCTGCCTGAAACGTCTGGGCACGAATGAACAATTATTCTGTCACGTTTCACATCATTAAATTAATATAAGGTTTTTGAAGTGCATGTAAATATGCGAAAACGAAAAAACAAAGCAAAACAAAGCAAAAAACACAAAAACAAAACAAAAAAACAAAAAAAACCCCCTTTTGACAGATTTAAGAGTAAGCAAGAGCTACAACAAAGGCTCACACTTGCTTATTCATGGTTTAAGTTATAACAATTTTACAATGTAACTTGTTAACTACAAAAACTATTTTAAAAATGAGAACTTGGGCTAATATAACAGAAGACAAGTGTCCTTTTTTTGTTTTGTTTTTTTACACAAATTTGTTATATAGTCCAAAAAGAGCTTTGTACTTGTGGTTGCAAACACATTTAATGGTCTGACTAAAAATCCGGACATCCAAGAAAAAGCACCGCCACACGAGTTCGCAGTCGACCTGTGGACCACATGCTTCTGAAGCATTTCTGACCTTCGCTTTTGTGTCTGCGTGCTCTGCTCTTGAGCAGTCTTTGCTTCTGCTTTTGTCCAGCTCCTCTTTGTTTGTTTGTTTGTTTATAAGTGCACATGCTGTCACAACAAGGTAAGTGATAAGATGCCTTCTCTTCTAGTCAGCACCATCCTACTATGCACATCCACTGTGAACCAACACTGGTCTCTTTAGGATGAACAGCAAGACCTTTTAAAAAAATATAAATACAAATTCATCTACACACTGCCTTGTTTTGGTCCTTTGTTGTGTTTTTTTTTTTTGTACCGTATTTATAGAGTGGGGGGGGGAGGGAGGGGGGGAGAGAAACAACTTCTTTAGCTGTTCTCACTCCACTCTGGCATGATGCTTACACTATGTACAGAGTGGTACTGGTGTGGTGATAGTGTACGTGGTATGCCATGTGTATACAGGTACTCATTTCCCTGCAGACTGGCTGCTGGTGATTGGATCCCAGCCCCGGGACTGCATTGGCGGCCCAGAGTCTGATGGGTCATAGAGCTCTGGTACATTGCAGCGTGGTGGCCATCACCCAGCTGTGGAGAGGCGTGGCCTCCCACCCCACCTAGTCTGGACACCAGAGACCCTGAGGTGAAGTGAGCGGAGAAGTGTTGGTAGGGCAGTCGATCCATGGGCTGCATGGTGGTGACAGAACAGCTACCATAGGGTGATACACTGGCCCAAGTGTTGCAGCTGATGTCTTCCAAACTGGGAACAGGCTCAGCGCTTTGCGAGGCACTGGCATACATACAGGCCTGCCGCTGGCTAGACTCGCTGCGGTAAGGCCCACCGGAGAGACTGAGGCTCTGAGCGTAGCCAACAGGGCGGTAGTAATGGTCCTCCTCACTCGATGAGCTCTCCAGATATGCTTTCTTGTAGCTGTGATCTCCTGAGTGACAGTCATCATCCACTGCAGGTGGAATTAGAAAGATGAGCAATTGTGTTATTCAGGAGATGGAAAATACAAACTGTTATCAAACAGAATGCAATGATTTGCAGATCTCATAAACTGGTATTTAATTTACAGTAGAACACAGAAAACATATCAGATGATTAATTGAGAACATGTGCCACATTAAGAAAACTATTAAGAACAGCTCATTTTGAATTTGATGGCAGCAACATGTTTCACAAAAGTTGGGACAGGGCTATGTTTACCACTGTGTAGCATCCCCTCTTCTTTAACGACAGTCTGTACATATGAGGGAATTCAGGAGATCAGCTGCTGAACAAGCCCGGTTGAGCAGCCGGACTCTTGTTCTATGAAGCCATACTGTTGCAATAGATACAGCTCGGGTTTAGCATTGTTGTGCTAAATATATTGGAGCATAATTGCTGTAAAACCTGTATCTACCTTTCAGTACTGATGGTGCCATTCCAGATGTGCAAGCTGCCAATTATAGGCAGTGATGCATGTCCATACGATGATAGATGAAGGCTTCTGAGATTTGTACCGTGCTTAACACCTAGGCTTTGCCTCTACAGCCACTCTCCACCTTCATTCACAGTATTTGACGTCCATGTTTTCCAAAAAGAATTTCAAATTTGGATTCATCTGCCCACAGAACACTTTTCCATTTTGCCTGGGTCCATTTTAAATGAGCCTTGGCTCAGAGAAGACAGCAATGCTTCTGGATCATGTTCACATATGGGTACTTCTTTCCATGATAGACCTTTAACTCTGGATGGTGCAATGAACTCTTTTCACAGAAAATGATTTCTAGAAGTGCAATTTTTTCCATGACTGAATCACGCCTGTTTTAATGCAGTGCTGCCTGATGGCCCGGAGATCACAGGCATCCAATTGATCTTCTGCCTTGTTGCTTGCACACAGAGATTTCTTCAGATTCTACGGATCTTTTGATTCAGTAGGGCTGTAGATGATGAGACTTTTAAAGTCTTTGTAGCCTTACATTCAGGAACACTATTCTGAAATTGCTCCTAATTTGTACATGCATTTTGTTGCTGATGTGGCTTCTCTGCCTCTCTTGGATGCTCTTTTATCTTTTTTTAATCTCCACTCATGTTACTGACCTCTGGCAATTAGCCTAATTAGGATCTTATGTAAAATTTTCCTCATTTTCCTTTCCAGCTGTTTCTTTTTTGTAACACTTCCATTTCCAGCCTTTTGTTGTCCCATCCCAACTTTTTAGAGACATGTTTCTGCCATCAAATTCATAATGAGCTTGTATTTTTCCATGAAATGTTGAAATGTCTCAGTTTAAACATCTGACATGTTTCCTATGTTCTACTGTGAAGAAAATGTAGCTTTATTAGACTTTCCAATAAAAGCATTTTGTGTTTATTTGCATGGCATTCCAGATTTTCTAGAACTGGGGTTTTACATGACATATAGCAATATTAAATAGCAGACACTATATTTTAAATTACTCTTTGTTTAACGTAACACATCTCACGTCATTTGTTTTAGTTTACAAATCTTCATGTACACACATGATGTGTTCAAGAATAAACATTTATTTAAAAAAAAAATTATAAATAAAAGATTCACCTACCTTTCCTCTTGATACAGTGGTACTCTTGGCCATGCTCATGAGGCAGGGGGTAGGAACCCGACTGGGGCAGCATGTCCTGTGAACTGCTTGTGACACCATTTTCACACTGGGAGTACTGGGAGCTCAGGCTGTTTGGTGTGGCCAGGCCTTGGACCTCCCCGCTAAATGGACTCTGGCTGGAGCCCACTCTCTGCCGCACTGTACTGCGAGGCACTACTGGATACTCCTTGGTACTACGTGCACACACAAACGATCACAGTTGTTAGTTATTATCTTCAACTATAATTTGCTGTCAACAAAGCAGATCTATTTTAATCTTCCGCATTTCATCATAAGATCATTTGTCAAAGACAACCAACGAGGATCACCATCAGTGATTTACTTCCACTTAGGACACAGAGAAAAACGTCTGGGGGGTGGGGGTGGGGGGTGGGGGGGGATATTCAGTCCAAAATATTTCGCCCCTATAAATCCTCAGGATCCATCAATAGATCATTTTGCTACTTCTAGTTCTTTGATTTCAGGGGTGGATTCAGTTGAAAACCTGACCTGGTTTTGCAATAAGCTCTCCCCTTGATATTGTAACCAAGAGCAGACGTGCATTGCTTACTGTCCTCTGCAGGATTGGACAAAGGCATGAAAGATTGATAGTGTGGTTTGGACTCTCACCAGCTTCTATAGATTTACAAGTTTTGATAGCTGAAATGCATTTCACTTGAAACGTTTCATTAGCTCATGGAATGCACCTACTTAAAGAAATTTAACGTGCGTCTAGTACAATCAGGCATGCGGTTTTTTATAAAGCTACTTCTTTTTTTACTGTAACACGGATTGTGAGGTACATGATCATTATTCTGTGCATCAGAGTAAAGGTTTTAGAGTGGATGCATTCTTCTAACACCTCATGGAAATGCCAAACAACCTTTCCTGTTTGGTCTGATTTGGGATTTTTTTCCCCTCCTCATTTGAATTCACATAGAGTCTGAACTGGCTGCCCAAAGGGGGTTGTTTTTTTTCAAAACCAGATTTTCTCCTTTGAAAAAGTGTTTTCCACGCAGTACGGACTCATACTCCATTCCTCATCTGGACTGAATAATAGAGCGAGGGAGGGGAGAGATCAATGTGGTCGTGTAGTGCCTTGGCTGCCTGACCAAGAGATACCACCAGTTCAGCACAAATGCGTGCCCCCCCCC